ATCAGGTACACAGGACATAAATGAGGATTATCAGTGACCCTCCAAAGGGTGAGCAACAACTGCCTGCCCTGGGCTGGGTGTGCTCAGGGGTGCTTTGCAAACTCTGTCAACCCAGTAGTTCCTACTAACTGGGTGCTTCACAGAGCTCCCACTGTGATAAATTCCCTGGCTAGAAATTAAACTGGTGCTCCTGTTTGCTCTTGCACGACTCCATAATGGATTTCGCTCCTCCGGAACCTAAATCTGCTAATTAACAGAAGTTGATTTCTACTCAAGTCCAGGGTACAAGTTTGTTTTTTTTTTTAATTTCTATATTGAGCAAAATCCTACTAATACCTCCTAACAAATGTGCAGGAAAACTGATGTGCTTTTCCAGTTTGTTCAGTACCTGTGGCCTATGCCTTAGACACTCCATGTCTGAGTGGCTTGACAGGAAGCTGAAGATCTGAAGCAATACACTAAAATAGCAAATATCTTTGTAGTGGCCCAACGTCCTTTATCTGTATTTATTATGCCTTTTCTTTAGTAAATGCTCTAACATTGAACATGCACTTAAAATTGCTTCCAATTTAACACTCAGCCCTTTGGCTGGCATAACTGGAATTTATAAGAAAATATCTTTCTCAGTGTAATGTTCATTAAAACAAACATTCAGAGGCAAAGACAGGCTAGATTTCTTTAAAAACATTAATTCCATTTAGGAAAACAGAATTAAATAGATAATGTAAGCATGATGTTTCTTCCTTTGGACAAAGCATAGATAATAATTCAAGAGAAAATGAATTAAAATTGTATTAAGCCTTGATTAAAATAGAATGTAGGCAAAGAAAATTATTTCAGTGCTTCCCAAGCATTTGTGCTTTTCAAGCAGCAGAAGAGAATGAAAACAAATAGCATCAAAAGCTAGTCAAAAAGGTGGACTTTGCAAGCAAGATAAACCTTAAAATATCGAAACCTGCACAGTCCAAAAACCAATCTTCACCAGACTGTTTAGCTCTGACATCTTTTTTTCATATGCATATTAGTGTATCTGTCTTAACTTGCTTGAAGAGAAACCAATAATATGTATAATAAGCTTTCTACTCTGCTTTGCTATGGAAACAAGGCATGTGTGATCTCACTCTCTGACTTTCTGTATTTTCTCAGATAATTTTTAACTTGTTGGATGATTTCAGCTAATTAAGAAGGGGGGGTAAGAAGAGAAGAGAAAAAAAAAAAAAGAGGTGGTGTCAAAAGTAATTAATTTCCTGAAGTTCGTATAAAACAGGTAAGTAAAGGTGCAGGACTCAACTGCAAGGGACTCAGAGGGGCACGAACCTCGTCCTGTGAGGGCAGAGAGCCACGATGGGCACGGGCTCCCATGGGCATGGGGTTCTCATGGACACGGGCGCTGATGGACACGGGGCTCCCACAGACATGGGATTCCATGGACACAGGGCTCTGATGGACACAGGATCCCGCGGACACGGAGATCCCCATGGGCACGGGGCTCTGATGGACACAGGATCCCACGGACACAGGGCTCCCGTGGACACGGGGCTCTCCTGGACATGGCATCCCACAGGCATGGGGCTCCCACGGACATGGGCTCTGATGGACACAGGGCTCTCATGGACATGGGATCCTATGGATACAGGGCTCTCATGGACACGGGATCCCATGGATACAGGGGCTCCTCATGGACATGGGATCCCATGGATACGGGGGCTCCCCACGGACACGGGGGTTCTCACAGACATGGGGCTCTGGCACAGCCCTGGAGGGAGCTCCCTCTGCCCGAGGCACAGGGCAGGACTCCCACAGCTCCTGCCCACGTCCAAACCAAACCCCTTCTCAAAGCAGTCCTTTCAGCCTGCCTTTCTCAACAGAACCGTAGCAGAATATGCTACACACAGCCTATAGCAGCATATTCTAGGAAAAAGGGGCAGAAAAATGCTTTCAGAAATGACATTAATATTCAAGCTCATGACTTGAGCTCTTCATTCCTTTTTCCTCTCATCTTTTCCTCATTTAGGGCTGCAACGCTTGCTGTTGACGGCAGTAACAACATTTTTCAACCCTGGGCACAACAATATTGACCTGTTGTTGATCAGATCTATCAGCAGTGTATGATAACTCAGTGTGCTTTTCCCCTCCAGCTGCCGGCACTTGTCTGTTCCAGGTGCATTTTAACTGAAGGAAGGGACTGCTTCAAAAGCAATCCCATCTGGACTGCACAGCCAGGAAAAACAAAGCAAACCCAAGACCTTTTCAACTGAAGATACGACTCCTGTCTGGATAGGCAGCAGTAAAATAAAATTACAGCCTTCGTATAACTGTGCCTGCTTGCTAATTCCCTGGTGAGTTAAAGTTGGGGCTCTATGAGAGTAATGAAGCCCCTTCTTGATTGGAAAATGTTTCATTACACGAACAAATGAATCACTTGTCCACACCCAGGGTCTCCCCCTCCCTTCTCCCCATTTAGCTGTACAGAAACACTAAAATGTAACAGCAGGGCACTCGGCCAGGTTTTATCTCCCCCACGAACTGCAACAACCCGCACGTACACACAAGATTCTATAAAAAACCCGTCAGTTCCAAGCAAGAGAGTTAAAGATTTTCTTATTTCTACCAAAAGTTAGATGCTCTTATTTTAACCTTTGTTCATGTTCGTACTTCCAGGCATGAAGTGCTACTAAAGCATGTTATACTTGGCATCTCTTATTACTGAAGCAGAAGGCAATGTAATCTTGTGAGAAAGTGTAATAATGCAGTATTCATTTTGCTTCTGTGGCTGGAAGCCAACTCTATATTAATATTCATTTCCAGTATACAGAGCCACAGTATTTCATTTATTTTAAGAATTTACAATTAATTTGGTATGATTCTGTTATCTGCTCCCAATTTCCTTTCCTGTTTCTTTTAGCTGAAAAAGCAGCTCTTGTACAGACTTTAAAAAAGTAAATTCACAACTGAAGCATCAGAAGATTGCTACTGGCTACTACAAGCAAGAAAAACAGGGACAGAACAGAATGGACTTGAAATATTACAGATGACAATGGAAATTAACTATCTGCAAATAGCAAAAATTCAATCTGCAGAAGTTCTGAGTTGACTATTTCCTTTCCAAACTCAGCAGATAAAACACTCTTTCACAGCATGCTGTTTGCAACTTTAACCAAATCCTTTCTGATTTCAAATGTTTTCAACCACCACAAAGCATTAAACTGCAAGTGCCTGAATCTTTGTGAAATGCACTAAATATACGGATTTGAAACAACTGCAATAATTAAAAAAAATTCCTTAGTATTTTAAAACTTCAGAAGAAAAACCACCATAGATGTCTCTACTACATAGGTGTCTACACCTTTGGTTTCAACCAGTGCAACCACTTTTGCAACGCAAGTGCCTTTATAATTAACCCCAGTTATAACCAAACCAGCCAGTCATAAGGTTTGTAATTCCAATCTCCTAATCCACGTTCACCTTTCTTACCTGGGAGAGAGGCTGAAAAGCATTTTACCTTCCAGCTGTCCGTCCCTACCTCCCTCTAAAAGTAAGATTACAGCCAAGCCCCCAGACCCGACTGACAGGGAGAACACAGCCAGTACAACTGCCCCAGGCCAGAGATCCCAGCAGAGATGGAGCCTTCCCAGAGCTGCAGCACACCCTGGGAAATGCCAGTCTTCTGACACATCCTGGCAATACTTGAGGAGAGGGCAGGAAGGGGGAACTGCCTGTGAAAGCTGTTCAAGCTCAATGAGATTCCCCCGAGCTCAGCCCCTCTGTGAAGGCTGCGAGGACTCTCCCTGGTAGGTGTGTGTGTGTGTTCACACATCCACATGGACAACTCACTGCAGCAGAGCTGGTCTGTCAGCACAACACACAGCCCCAGCCACGGCAGTCTGGAATTAAAGCTCAGGAAACGACACAGTGAGCGTGGAACACTGCAGATTTCAATTTTTAATCTTGGGGTTTGCTATTTTTGGGGACTAGTTATTTATATAGATTTCAGAAAGAAGAGTGGAGGAGGCAGAGTAGCTTTCCTGAAGTATTTCTGAAAATCTAGCCTTAAAATTCGAAGAATTTTGATAGGGTAAAGAATGTATCTGCTTTAAAAGCCGGTGAGATCACACCACAGATGCACCAAGGAAGCCTATACATTACATACCAATTACTGAATAATGTGAGATGCTATTTTATTACTAAACCAATTTTTTCACCTGCAATCTAGTCAATCAAAAAGCTTACACCCAGAAATACCCTCAAGTTCTAGATGAATATTTGCAATTAAGAATTCATAAACCATGTTTTCCTGTTCATTCATGTTTCTCTGTTTATTAAAAGGGCCACAAGAGCAGCTGGGGAGACAGACTAGCTGGATAAAGTAAAGTTTATGAAGAAAAACAGAACAAAGAATAGATACTGCAACTTTTTAAAAAAATTCTTTTCCTTCCTCATCTCTTTGATTTAAGAGCTATTTTAAACACATTTGAAAGTAGTGAAGTATTTTTCCCTTTTCTAAAAAAAGTAAGAATATTTTCAAGTAGATGTTATTTTTGTATGAACTTTGGAGCTTTATTTCCTGAAATTTAACTTGCATAGTTCTAATATTAATGAAGTGTTTGCCATTTCATTTTCATCAAGCCAAATTAGAAAAGTAAAACAGGTATTTCATTTTCACTGTTTAGTTGTTTTATATCACGTTTAACATATCTATACATTCCTACTAAATTGTTGTGCAATGAAAATAGAAAAAGGAAGAATCCAAAAATAAGGCACCTACTAATCAAGGATGTTAATACCGTCACTTCAGTTTAAACATATGACACTATCAAAACCAAAAAATATCTTTTTTTTTTTTTCATTAAAAAAGGGACAGTTTGAGTCTCATAAATTAATATATGCTATAAATACGTTTAGTTTGACATCCTCAAACTTCAAGTGATCTGACAGAAATTAACGTACAGTCCATTTAACTCATCTGCAAACTCAAGTAAAAAAAATAAACTAAAGCTTACCTTCAGTACACTGCAGGAAGCTGACAAGGAGCAGAAACCAAAAACTTCTCATTCTGCAGCCAGAAGACACCATTATTGATCCCTGTAAGAATTTTCTTTGTATTCCTTAATGAATCCAGTTATAAAAGCCCAGCATCATCGAAACCAGTGGCCTGCATTATTCATCTTCATACCTGGAGTAGCAGAAGATTTGGAAGAAAAAGAGAGAAAAAATTCCATCACTAACTGAACACCAATAATTCAGAATATCAAATTTTACTCGATACAAACTGGAAATTTTTAGTAAAACTGACAGAACACCTGCACTGTATCTGGGAATTCAGCAGGTTTGTGGGATGTAATCTCTCAAGGTCAGTGAACACTAAACAGAATGCCAAATAATGATACAAGCTAGAGTTCAAAGTGTCAACGTTATTGATGTACTTGCAGTAAGACACATTAGAAAAACCCAACAGGAGAACGTTTCCTCTGAATATAAGGAACTGGATGTGCAGATGGGCAAGCGAAGCTTTTCCCACTGCCCAAATCTGACACCACCTGCACTCCTCTACCCCCAAGAACCACAGTAAAATTAAATGTAGGGCATTGCCATATTTCTCAGAGATTCGAAACACGGAGTGGCTGAGAACAACAGAGCAAGTCCCCTCGGCAGGAAGGTGTGCAGCTCTGCTCCCTGTCATGGCTCCAGCATTCCACACAGGTTCCCTCCTTGGATGAGAGAGGCAGGAACAGCAACTCTGCTGACAAAGTTCCCTGTTTGGTGAGGAAGGTTCTTCACACGACTTTAGTTATCTCTATTTCTACCCAATAAACACCTTCAGAGAAAAGGGAGTCAACATAATGGATCAGACTCTCCTGTCCTTAGCCTTGAACAAGATTTGTCTCCTACCGAGAAACATGAACTGAACTGCTCCTGTAAACGATGAAGAATTCTTAGAGCTATCATTTGCATTTGAAAAATATAATTACACTGATAGAGTGCAGTAGCTGTGATAGAAGATTTGACAGCAGAGTGCTCCCTTTCTCTAATGACTCCATTCTCTCACCAGCCAAATGAGTAACGACGTACATCCTCTCCCATATCTCACTGTATGAAGCAAGGTCATGCTTCAGCCCTGCCTATTAGACTTTGGGAAGCTAGAGAAAAATTAACATCCATAGAAAAACAAATTATTTTTAAGTAGAAAGCTGGCTCTACGTATTACAGATACGTGAAACAACCCTGGAGAACAACTTTCTGAACACTGTGGCAATCACAGATGCAAAGAGCTGAGCCCGACATCACACTGGCTTGGTCTCTCCAAGATGAATGAACAGGGCTGAGATATCTCCAATTAATGTTACTTTAAAACCATGTAACAATGACTCTGTAAAAATTTAAGTGGCAGGATCCAAGGGCCACTTATGATTCTCATGAGTACTGGAGCACGTTGAGGGCTTTAAAAATACATTTACCCTTTTGGCAAGGAGAACTGGAAAGGATGAAGCGCACAAAATGCCAGCTAAAGAAATGCTATGAACTGTAGATCATTTTCAGAAGTAGAGAGTGTAACACTTTTTATAACAGTCAATGTTAATCAATGATAAATTTGTTCCCTGAGCACACAAACAGCAACAAGACTGACACTCACTATTTTCCAGTAGGAGAGAGGGGTGGGAATTAACAGCAAACATTACAGAACAATTTCTCCAGCCCTGAATGAAGGCAATGTAGCTGTGGAGATTATTAAACGTGCGAGGAGGCTTCTTTACTTGGCTCCTCTTTAAGAGAAGTGAGGCATCCCCCTCACAACACCAACATGTTGGTGATTCCTCAGACCGGGAAATAACGAAAACTGACGGCTGAGGCCGAGTGATTATTTGTTTATTTATACATTAAAATAAATGAGCACTTCTTTCCATTTCCAACTCCAGACAGGTGCTTTTTAATGGCAGGCACTTTGAGCCACACATATTTCAACAAGGAGCACGGAGCAGCAAACAAAGCCCTTCAGCACAGGACGGCCAGTGTGGCTCTCCCTGGCACACACCCCTGTGCCCAGAGGGAAAAGTGGGACCTTAATTTTCATGGTGATGCACCAGCTGCTACAGGACAACCCAGAAGCAGCCAGGAAGAGACAGTCACATTGTACCTCCAGATCTTTCGCACTGGGCTGAGTGTTTTGCAACCAAAAGCAAATAAATCTAAAAATCCACAAAGGATGCACTGCATTCAGCAGAAATTACAATTGCAAAGGAGCTCCTGCTGAGTAAAGAAGAAAAAAATGCCACCATGGTCTCTCTGAAAAAAAACCCTGGAGATAGTTCAGCTAAAAGCTTGGGAAGAGTTTGGATTAATTTTTCACCTGTAGCACCCAAAGGAAAAATCATAAAACTATTTCACACACACTACAGACTAATCAGCATAATTTCAGTAAGCAATAAGAATAATCCAAGAGAACAGATGACAAACAATAACGGCTAAAAGTGAAATTAAGTCAGCCTTCTGATTGCTCCCAGTCTGTCCAGAAGATTTTGGCCTCCTGAGACTCAAGTTTTATTGTTATTTCCATAACATATCGCTGCACTCCCAGATTTTGAGACATCTTCCATCCACTTCAAGTGGATAGTGACATACCTGTCCCTTGTCATCTTCAAACTCATCCCTTTCTTGTGGGCCTTTTTTAAATTGGGGGGGGAGGAAGGAAAGAATTATGTTAAAAACAAAAACAGTAATCAAAGCACCACTTGAGGGGAGACCAAACATCTCCCTAGAAAACAGCTGCAAAATGTATGCCAAAAAATGTATGCCAAATACTCTTCCCTTTTTCTTTTTTCAATTGAGTAAGAGTTCTTGACCTTGTAAACTGAGATAGCTATTTTAATAAGAAACTACAGTTTCTGAAAGGATATTGATGTCTTTGTGATATCAAAACCACAGAAACTATTAAGAATAAATGCAGAATATTTTAAAGGACAAATTTAAGTGTTTAGTGCAATATATTGTTCTCTTTAGATTGCTGTAGCCTACAGATATAGAATTTAACTCACTATGCTGCTGCAAACAGAATTGAAAATAAACTAACCAGCCCCTACCAAATTATCAGTAACATATGTTTTCCTAAAAACCCAAGAAAAAATGAAACAGTGTTTAAAAACTGATGCAATAGGGTTTGGTTTTGCCTCTTTTCTTTTGAATAAAAATCAACATTCACAGCAAACCATTTTAATGCAACCTCTGTAGTTGAGAAACTCTGCGTGGTTCCAAGTAAAAGAACACTGCAGTCCTGAACCAACCATTCATCAGTGTAACAAAAGCTAAACCTGGAAAAGGCACCCAGACATGAGCTGGAGCCAGAGAGCACTGGGACTGCAGACACTGCTGTCAGCCAGTCCCTCTGCCCATCCATCTGTCAGCGACACAGCACTGCTGGGGGCACCTCAAAACAACAACAAAGCCCAAACCAAACAAGTAGGACCGGGAAAAGATGTGTTAAGTTACTTCTCTGTAAACAGAAAAAGGAGACCACAGCGAGTGGCTGTCCTGAGCAAATAAGTTATTTCCCCTCAGACCTTAATAAACCTTTCCTCTGGGTCGCTGAATGCTTCGGCTCATGGGGGGGCAGAGAGAAACACCCTCGAGCAAAAGGTTGCTTGAATTTCAGAGTGCAACAAAAGCTGCCCAGAAAATTCCAGTTGTAACTTAAATCCCTACCTCTGGGCCATACTGCAGTCTCCCACAGAAAAAACCCCAGCCCTCCACTGGAATAGAGAGGTTCACCTTGTTAAGGTTCTTCTCGTACGCGCTGGTAAAGAAGGCGAGATCAGGAACAGAAATGTTAATGTTCAAACCTGTACACTGCAAATGCACTGGGCATCTCTTCATACTGTATTCATAAGCTGTGCTCCAAGTCCTGAATATCTTAGTGCCCCTGCCTTGCTTCCTTGTTCTTCTGTGCTTCTGAAACTCCTTACAGGCAGAACACGACCGCTGCAGAATACACGCCACTGTTGGCCACCCCTCTCCCCGCAACATTGCTCAAGAGCACCCCAGAGATAAGAGAAAGCTGCTCCAAGCATGCTCCTTGAAATACTTTTATCTTTGAAGAGAAAGACCTCTAAAGGACTGCCGTGTCCCAACTCTACTCTGTTTAACCTTCCCAAGGTTTTATTTTCAAAAGCCAAAAAAGGGTCTTTTAAGAGCTTCTGGCCAACTGACACAGCATGCTCAAAAGCTGCCTCTTCCCTCCTGTTCTATCCAGCTTTGCAGGCAATTAAGACAAAGGGGAACACAGAGATCTTTCCAGCTAAGCAAGGATGTTTTTCTGTAGCTAGAAGTCTCTCAGACTAATGCTGATGTATTTTAGAGTATAGCGTTTAATTTTCCAAATCATCTTAGAAACACTGCAGAGCACTTGCAACCTCAGTCAGGCTTTAACATCCCCATTACAGAAATAAAATTTATACTAGCTTTACAGATGATGAGGCACAGCAAGGTAAGGAACATCAGCCACAGCTGCACAGCTCGTACATGCCAAGGAACCAGCAGGACCCAGGCAGTCCCCCTTGTAAATCCTGTGTGACCTACCTTGCCACACATGCAGCACCCCCAGCGCCTTTCATAACCCAGTTTATGAAACTAAGTAATTCTGTAATATATCTGAGACACTCTGCAGAGAAAAGGAGGGGGAAGAGGAGGCAAGGGTGAGTAGATATATATTCATACAATATAATAGACTACTTAGTCTCCTGAGAAATCACGTGTTCACGTGCTTTCCCATCATGAGGCTTTCCCAATTTAAAAAAAAAAAAGTTAAACTTCCTATAATCTGTAACATAAGAATTTAATTAGTGCAGTGTGGTTAGAAAAACTAAGCTGCATTAGTAAAATACTAGAACGAGACTAATACTGTTTATGATCCAAGAGCTACAGTTTTCTACATATCTGCAATGAGATCCAGCTCTACTTTTCAACATTGAACGTACCGTCGATGCATTCAATAGGAGTTATTCCCAGAGTTTTCAATATGCTTATTCAAAAATTGATTTACATTAATAACTCTGCATTAGTGCGACAATTTCTGATTGTAGAAAATCTGGTTATGTGTTCTGGTTATGAGACCTTACGAAAAAAACCCTGAAGACAAGCAAGACTCCACACTGATCTAGTTAGCCTCCTTGTACTACCTATGGT